TTGTATTCCCTGTATCTGCAAGCACGTGCTGTCAAATGATCTTGAAAATCATTTCCTTCCACATCTTCAGACCATCCCAGAAGACCCGCATTTACCAGAAAGAAATCAGCTGGTTAGTGGGATTTTAGGCTGGACAATTATGGGGTCCATTTACCTGCCTGCAGATAATTGCTGTAGCCACGCGACCGCTTCTGCAGCTGACATTCAAAGCACTCGTTCCATCAGTATAACCCCCCTCAGGAGAAAACCCTGCTTCACTCTATTAATAGTGTGCATGTGTGCGCACTAAGTATCTGTAGCTGCTGAAGAGCTACAAGAATGTGGCGTGTTGGCAGGGGAGAGTCTGATCCAAGGAGGTTGCAAATGTCTGGTGTCCCATGAGAAAACAAGAAAGGCTTCTCAACCAAGTCCCAAAGCCGATGTTTTACTGCATAGTCTCACCAACGAGGGCGGGCGAGAGGGCTGGAAGATGAAATAGTTAATCGAGCAATAGCTCTGCAGAAGCTGTTGGTGGAGAAGGAGGCAGCAGCTCAACCCATCTATCCTCATGTGTCTCCCACTGCTCTCAGATATCGCCTCCCTTAAGCTCGTGCCCAGAGCAAGGAGACGAAAATTGCTATGGACAGAATTACCCCGCAGACAAGGTCCTCTGCTGCAAAGCTGCTAGCGTCTTGCATGGTGGAGACCTCTTTTAAATGACAACAGAACACTAATGTTATGGAAAGATCTTGTTGTATATAGTTTTCAGGATTAGGGGGTAGGAGAAAACAGAAGTACAGCCTGCCTTGACAAATATTGTCAGACATTTAAGTGCTCTATCTTCCAGTGCTGATTTGTGCAAACACTTCCAGGGCATCAGAGAATGTTGTCATTGATAAATACTAACCACGGGAAACGGCTGTTTCAAAGACCTGGCTGATGGTATGGCCAACAACAACGTGATCATGTAATGCATGGCCACAGACAAAGTTAATAAGCATTTGCATCCTACAGCATTAACCATCGCTCTCAGTCATCAAAAAATAAAACCCCAGTGAACAATTCTGCAATGGTACAGGCAAGATTATTAAAGGATTATTTGAGAAAGAGCAAGGAGAAGGTAGTATGTCATCAGAATTTGGGATCACTACTTTGTTTTACTGTTGAAAACTCTATGTACTTTGAGATCTCAAACCCCAAAACAAAGCTTAAACTTCACTTAGGCACTACAATTCCCTCCCTTATCGCATTATCTGAGTACATCACACTCTAATTATAGTTATCTGAACAACACTTAGAGAGACTGGGAAGCGCTAACCTCGTCGGAGAAGCCCTTGAACACAGAGTAAAACCAAGTCAGAAACAACTTTTAGTTTTTAAATGCCAGCTAAGTACGCTGCAACCAGTGGGAAAAAAATGTTCTTACACCATCAGCAACACTTCAGAAAATTTGCCTCTTCATTATCATTAACCCAGATCCTGAAGTCCTGGCTCAAAACTCAGAACAAAGTTGTTATTATTATGAGGAAAAAATGCATTATAATATTTGTGTTTCTAAAAGCATCATTTAAAACATATCAGTAATCATTCAAAGAAAGGAGTAATACTTACAGCATCTCAGTGGGATATTACATCTTACTCTCAAGAGGTATCCAGAAGTGCTTCTCAATATTTTAGTATCTGTTAGGCAGTGATTGCAGTTTATTTATCTCTCTCTAGTGGGTACAGAAGTAGAAGTTAAATATTCCATCTTCCTCTCCAAAGCGTGTAAGGGACTGTATCCTCACACTCAAGAAAAGAAAGAGATCTCTCTGCCACGTCACATCCTGGTGTGGAAAACAGCCCGTGTGTGCCCTACGGAGCGTGGACCAGCGGCCACGTTTGTCTACACATTTCTTCAAGGCATCCTCTGTGAAGCCTTTGAGAAGAGCTTCAAGGAGTTCAGGCCTTGTGCAGATGCTGTAGAATAGCTGTTACTGAATTTAATTGAGGTGTTTCTTTTTCTGCCACCTCTTCTGTTTCATGGCTTTTATTCTTTTGCATTGCTTTACGTGCTAGGGCACGGAGCCAGGTATTTCATCAAATCTCAGTTCTGTTTTGGTTTTATTTTTTTGTGTTTAAGTATAAGTCAGACTCTGCTGTTGTGCTTTTAAAGCTGACCACTGCTTCAGTAGCTTCCACCCACCTAGTTTTAATTTTTCCCAAATCTGAGTTTCAAAGTCCATCATTATGAAAAAAGGTAGTTACATTTCCTAGCAAAATTTTGTTTCTGATACTCTGTTTTAAATTAAAAGATTTAATTCTGATTAAAAGAGCCCTCGATACCCTGTAGGTCACCAGAGTTCTTGATAGCAACTTCAAGCCTCATTGAGAGTTTAATAGGCTGCTGCTGAGTTATATGACACCTGTTAAGTTTATGGAAAAAATTTATCCAGTCTGCTGCTGTTACTAGCTATCAAATACCAGAGACGCTAGAGAGGACCCTGAACCAATATCTATGATCTGAACTACAGCAAAAATATTGGGAAGAATATTTTGGATTCCCAGGCTTTGATACAGGTCCAAATTTCAGTCTCATTTGCTATTTCTATAAAAAGTTGGCCAGAATGACCAATCTCAGTATTCCTAAAAACCGGAAACAGAAAGGAACTCTCTCTAGCTAGTCTAGAATTTTCTGTTGGGGGCTAATTATCCTCTTTTTTCACCTCTGCCAGACTTGCTAATACTCTTTCATGTGAAAGGCTCCAGACAGAAGCACCAGGAAATGAAGGTCTCCAACCATAAAAGAGGAAAAGCTCAGACACTGCTAACACCAACCCATCCTGTCCTGCTGATGCATTTCAGTCCTGCAGTGGAAGGGATGGCTTCATGGCCTCCGTGTAGGAGAAAGTTCTGCTGAGGGGCCCATTTCGTTCAGAAGTTTAATAACGTAAGGCCACTTTACAGAGACCAAAACCCTCCATCAATCCATCAGTGCTGCAAACACAAGAGGCTTGGGGAACATTTCAGTCTTGCAGACTTCTTGTCTCTTCACTGACTTTCTGGAAGTGGGACATTCATTTGGGCTGTCGCCCACGTCCATGCTCTGTGAACATGCAAGTTCACAAAGCAGCCTTCGGTGGACAGAGCTCTCTCCTTCATGCACCTGCCTGCTTGCACGGACGTTGTGGGAACCCAGTTACCTGTGATACTTCTGCTTTTGTATCAGCTCTGGATAAATTCAACCAACTACCTTAAAAGTTATTGGAGAAGTACATACAGACTGAGGCATGGCCTCACCTATACACACACAAGCACAGAGTCATTGAAAAGCCTATTTCCGTAGGAAATTAGGGTGAGAAGATTATTTAGATTTTTTTCTTAATGAATAAGAGAGGCTAAAAATCATACTCTGAATGTATTTCCTCTAAATTGGCACACCATAATGAAGAGACTCAAAGAAATGACCTTCCAGTCTCAGAGGCCCTGTTATGCTGGGAGTGATTTAGTTTCATTGCGTGAACTGCCGTAAAAACAAGCACTGGCATCTTTAAAAATCTGAATTTTGGATTGCCTTACTGGAGGGCCACCAGGAGCAACAAACCAGCTGATGGCAAACAGAGGGATGCATGGGCAAACATGCTTAGCAGGAGCAGTCCCAGCTGAAGTGCTCCCGTCCCCCTGGCAGGCAGGACAGGTGTGTCACTTCCAGATGTGACGTGAGCCACTTACTTCTTGTTCACAGCCTTTGAAGTGCTGTGCAGAGAAAGCCTGAGCCATTACCGCAATTAGAGTAGATACATCATTTACTGGAAGAATTAAATGCACTGTAGTAGCAAACCTGCAGTTGACGCTCACAGGGTGCAATTGAAATCCTCCGGATTAGTAATTCTTTTGAGATATTTGTAATCATTGGTAATAGGTAGTGAAATAAATCCACATTTATATCCTACAGACTGCAGCTGTGCTTCTGTTAAAGTAGTATTAAGTGATGGTTTTTAAATCCTTCTGCCAGCTCAAGCTGTAAGCACCGAAACTCCTGTGCGGAGGATAACTCATCCTGGGTGATATATGTTCCTGAGCACGAAAGCGCTGGTTAATGGATAATGAAAGCACCAAGGCAGAATCACACCCGGGGCTTCGCTCCTGCAGTAAGCTCTCTGGGGAGAGGTCCCCGTGCAGCTCGCTGTGCAACAGCGGTCTCAGCTACCCGACTGCAGCTAAGACTGGATGTCGCTTTGGATAACCGTGATAGAAAAGAATACAAAATACTAATGTAAAGCTTTACCCGGATGGACAAAGTGCTGAACCTCATCTTGTTCAGTCGAGCGAGGGGTTCATCCAGCCAACTCTGGTGTTGTTCCTTCAGGTATCAGGAGTGCACACTCGCGCCCTGACTTACTGCACGGGCTCCCAGTTAACTAAACAAATATGCCATTAAAAGCTGAACCAGCCTTGAGGGGGACATCTGGGTTTAAATTGCAGCAGGAAGAGATTTATAGACTTGCTTTCCAAGCCTAGAGAGTAAGTGAAGAGGCCTCAGACAGTTCAACATTTACCAGCTCTGATAAGGGAAACCAGCACTTCACTGGGGACGAGACAGGAGGGGTGATGGGCGCTAGGTGGGCACTCAGCTTTGCTGTGGAGCCCCAGCCATGGGGCAGGGACCCAGAGTGACAGTCACTCTAGGAACAAAAAGAAGCTTTGCAAACTCGGTATGCTTGTAAGATAAGCACGGCGCTGATAAAGTAAAGCACAGAGAGATTAAAAAACTCAAGAGAACAATATTAGTGGCAGACTGAAGAAAAGAGCCCAGGAATCCTGGCTCTCCCTTCCTTCAGCTAGGCTTCAGCCCAATCTGCCCAAAACTCGTGACCTTAGAGATGGTTTCCTGATGGCATAAAAAAAAATCAGTGACCAACCCTACAGGAGAATAATTTACTTATACAGCCTGGGAGGAAAAGGAAATAGAGCAGAGCTGGCAGAAGTGCATTTACCTGGTTCTATTCCTTATGTGTTATGTTTGCTTTGTTTTCATTTAGGAATCTACAAAGGACATTGCTTCCGAATCAACCACTTCCCTGAAGACAACGACTATGACCATGACAGCTCAGAATACCTTCTCCGTAAGTGAAAAGTAATACCTAACACACAGGATCTGACACGGCCAGGGAGGCTTTCCTGGGTTTCTCTTCCGTAGAGTGCAACCCAAGTCTTATTCATTGCAAGAGACTGGCCCAAACTGGGTGGCACAGAGCAGTGGTGACACGTGTCCTGTTCACGCTGCAGCTGACGCAACCATGACCCTTGGGGATGCCCATTTCAAGGGTTTCCTTCAGCCAGAGGAACGCTCGTGATTGTGGTGCCCATTCTCTAAACATTATGTGGAAAATTTTCAAATGGAAACTACAGCTATCATTCCCAGATTGGCGAGGATATTTTACAGAGGGAATATTTATCTGATTAGTGTATCAAAACAGGTTTGAGGAGTGGGTTCCAGCCCATTAGGAAGCTGTTCCTAATGCTCAAACCCAACCCTTATGCAAGCCTTGTCCTTTGCAGCTGCTGAGCCACCTCCCCCTGCAGTGAAATTACTGCATTGTAGGAAGGAAGCTGAAATTTCTGCAGCTAACAGCGAAATCTCAGCATGAGCATGGACTGTGGCTTCCGTGCATGGACAGCTAGCCATCGCTGCTCTGTGCTGGTGTGTAATCCACCACAGAAGTAATTTCATCCCCCAACCTGGTGCTTGAAATAAGGGCAATCATTTCATCTCCTCCATTCGCTCAGCTGATAGGAAGTCTTGGAACCCGAGTGTGAAACTTCATGAATCCTGCAAAGTTTGAGTTAGATTTCCCCTTCCCAGGAGGACGCCTTGCCTAGTCGTTCCTTTTGAACAAAAGAGCTGACCAGCCAAGCTGAAAGCAATGCCCTTTACCAGAGAAAGAAACTGCAGTTCACAAGGTGTTGGGAAAGCTTCAGGGAGCAATGGATGACGCTGCTGGCTGATACACCCGGCAAGGCAAAACACTCCTCAATTACACTGCTATTAATTACCTGAAACACCACTTAGAGAACCACTCTGCCCTTCTGCTCGCTTCTGGGAAACAACTTCTGGTTGCTAAGACAAGAAGAAAGAATAAAAGTCTCTGAAAAGTATGCTTTACCAGAAAACCCAGACTTTTTTCATCCTTACTCTTGTCAATTTAGATCAGCCATAGTGCTTGGGTGACATGATCTCAGTGCTCAGGCGGACTAGCAGAGTGTGAGCACAGCTGCATTGATCTTTCATACAAAGCCTTGGAACCAACGTTAAATTGATGCCAAGTCAGCCTTAGGAAACACCATTAGTAAAAGGACTGTAAAGGAAAGAGGAATTAAGTAGCATCTTGATAAAAGTGCATTATGCCTTCTTTATTTGGAGAAAAGGGAGAACTGGGAAAAACAGTCTACAGCTCCGCAGTAAGAGATGAGATTGGCAAACTGTTTGTAAGTGTACTTGTGACGGGTGTTCCTAAAAGCTGTTTTCCAAAGCGACTAAGTACAGACCTCAAAAACAAGTTGGTTCAACCTTCTGTCTTCTGCAAGATCAGGCTTCGGCTGCTCCCCCCTGCGGAGGAGAGCTCATCCTCACGTAGCCTGCACAGATAACAGGACTCCTCTGCTTTAACTTTTGTAAGAAAAACTGCAGCTCCGCTTAAAATGTGTATGGTTGATTTAGAGATTACTGAAAGGTTATGTATCTAAATCCAGAAGAGATGAGCTCATACGTAGTTGTAATAGGAACCTAATCATTGTCTAACCAGACACAGACAAGAGGACATTTGCATCCTGCTTGAAAGGAGACGTGAGACCTTCCGTCCCCCATTTTTGCCCTCTGTGCAACACCTTTGCAATCTGCTGTCTCCTTATCATTCACCGTGCTTTGTAGCCATTTCTTGGCACAAGTCTCTTGGAGGGCCACGTTGAGGGTAACAAAGGCACCAACGCTTTGTGCATCTTGTGCTCCTGAAAGAGCAGCATGAGGAGTCTCACCCTGCTCCACAGTCACCAATCTAATACAGGCTTCAGATAAATGTAAACATCATGGTGCTAGCAGTGTCAAGCCCTGGTACAAAACCCTATTGAAATCAGTGAAAAAATGACTGATTTTAGGAGACTTTGGTCTGGGGTGTGGGTAGGAGCAGGAGTTTGGATTTTGCCCTTTGGCATTCAGGCCGCTCCCTGCAAAACCAAGGAAACGAGCCACAGTGACAACTAACGTGCAAAGGAGCTCAAACAAGACCCCTCCTATTCAACCTCCCCTGTGACAACACACGCCAACCTGTGTGTCTAAAAAAATCCCCTTCACATGTCTGTGCAGAGCCCCAGCAAGTGCCAGAGGTATCGCTGCCGTGCACAGAAAGCCCATGCAGTCCCCGGGGCTGCTGCTTGCATCGCCCAACCACAACATGTGTGCTCCAGCTTCCCTCCTCTCCCGCATTTCTGCAGGCACACAGAAACCAAGCTGCTCCGATTCTGCATTGCACGAAGCACATGCACCTCTCCCTTTGCAGAAGAGGGGATTTCAGCCGTACTCATCCTCACGGCATGTGTGAGGATGTCAGGGCTCTGCTGCAGTGCAGAAGTGCAGCCATGAGGAGGGGGACTGGGGACCCCATTTCAGGGGCATGTCTACACTTTCATGCACCTCTTCCCCGCATGCTATAGCATCCTCTTTTTAAAGCCATTTGCTTGGCTCCTGCCTTTCAGAGGAGAATAAAAGCACGAGCGGAGCACCAGGGCTCGCAGCCCCGTGGGGAGGAGCAGCACGGCGCGCTGCGGTGCTTCACCGAAGGAGGTGTCACAACGCATAGCAGTGCAGAACAGCCAATGCAAACAGACAAGATGGTAAACAAGAAAAAAAAAGCAGGGGAGAAAGCAAAAACCAGATTGCCTTAATGTTTTTTGATGTGCTGTCATTTTATTAGCAGTATCGGGAGACATATGTAAATTCTACGTGGTACCTATGAGCTTCCTTTTAAATTTCAGAGCTAAAAGTACACATTGTAGGAAAAAATATACTGTAGAGTTTTACAGGAAGAGAACACTGTGTGTTTTGTTTCTCTTCACATTAATTACCTGCTATAGAAAAATTATCTCTGGAGATTATTGCTACAAGTAGAACAACTCACCCCCTATATTTGACATGTTGGGCAAGTTCCTTCTGATGATACCACTGGAGCATTTTAGGAAAGCTCTTTGATTTAATTGAAATCATTATAAACAGCATGAACGTAAAACATAGAAAACAACAACCAGAAAGGGTGGGCCACAGTAGATTTTAAGCCCAGGCTGCCTCTTGTCAGGACACTAACAGACAGACAGTGATTTGGGGTGCCTTCGTGTCCAGCAGCGCAGAGCCTGACATTGAATATTTTTCTAATAATTGACTCTAAAAAACTGACCCAAAAGTCAAAGCCCTGTTACCTCGTACCAGACACGCGGGGATACACCCAGGACAACAGAACGGGCTCTCAGCACTCAACAGGCTTTGATTAGAGACCTTACACCCTCATTACTGGGGTTTGCCAATTATTGCAAGACACTGTCGGAATAGTAATGCATCCGACTGAATTGGGTTTAGATCTGGTTAGAAAATGCCCCGTCTGTAAAGGACACGTGCAGCGATGTTGCCAGTTCTGGTAGGAGACGGACTTTTCTCGCTGTTGCAGATCGATATAGGCATAAGCTTCCCAGGCAGGGACTGTCTTTTTTGTTTTATGTTTGCACCATCCTAATGAGGGCTGGACCCGTTTACTGGGGCTCTCGGGGGCTTTGCAGCGCACACAAAAGCAATGCTGCTGTTAAACGCCCAGCCCTGTCCCTCCTGCAGTCAGTGGGAGTTTTGCCACCAGTTACCAGGGGAATCGTTAAGAAGCAATTCACAAAATTGGGAACGCCACGGCCATCAACAGTAAAATGAGAAAGCATCAGCTGTAACATCTGGCCGTTTCTCCTCGGGAAACGGGTGCCGCTCGCTGTGCGTGTCATCCAGGAAGATGACACCCGGGAGAGACCGCATCGCTAATGGCACCGCATCAGCAGATTGGTCCAGATGGCGGTTTTTCTCCTCTCCATGCACTCAGCCCTGGGGGTCCCCGGGTCCTCCCGGTACGCTGTGGGGTTTCCACCCCTCTGTGACAGCGGCCTCTGACCCCCACCCACCTTGGGCGTCCCCACGCCCCGGCACCCACTCACCCTGCCGGGACTCCCCTCCGCGCCTTTGCCTTTCCATGGCCCCCAGCTTTGGGGCAGTCCTGTTTTCCACAGCAGTATTCAGCGCCTTATCTCCCCTTCTTCAAAAAAATCCTCTCTCTATAACAATATAACTTAGTTCCTCGCTCTGCCTTTCAGGAACGCCTGCCAGGTTTTACCCCTTTGGTTTTTAGAATACAGACTTCCTTTTCTTGTGCCTGTTTATTTTTTCTCAGCCCTTTTGTTCCCTCCCTGCCGCTTCCCTTTCGATTGCTGCTTAGTCTTGTAGTGACCCGACTTTGAAAGCCGGCTCGAAGTGGTGTTTTAATTTTTTTTTTCAGGGATTTTATAGCCCATGCTGGTGAATGGACTGAAGCATACAGAATTTTAAATGACTCTACTAAGCTGTCAGGAAACTAAACACAAACATCTGAGACACACTTGTTAAAATTTCTTCCTTAGAAATCTGAAAGGTTTCACTGTCCTTAATATTCAACGAAAGAAAAAGGGGTTATTAGCTGTGCTCGCTGGCAACATGAATGCTGCAGACTTCAAGAGCTGTAATTTGCTCACCTTGCGCATGTATCAAGGAACAGATCCGTCTGCTCAAGCCATCCCCAAACGTTGTAGGCTTCATAGCCAGCTCATGAATTTTTCACTGCCGCTCCCTGCGTGACGCTGGGTCTTACTGCCACTTACCTTAGGCTTTGCCAGCAATGTTCTGTAGGCGGTGGCATCAGATGACGGTGATAATGCTGAACTTTCTAGAGGAAGCTCAAAAGATTTAAGCTACTCAGTTGAGCGTCTGTGCCACACTGACCACCTACGCATGGCCTCGCCTCCCAAAAATGCGCCCAGAAATGCAGAATCAGTGATAATTCCAGCAAAAGCCAGGGGTTTTGAGACTTTGTGATCTCCACACTTGCACCCGAGGAGGCATCTGAAATGATTACTGTCTGTCTTGGTTTTCTACCTATCTCCCCTCCAGGCATTGTCCGTGCCTCCAGTGTGTTCCCCATCCTAAGCACAATATTGCTGTTGCTGGGAGGACTCTGTGTCGGAGCAGGAAGGATTTACAACAGCAAAAACAACATTATTCTCAGCGCTGGGATTCTCTTTGTTGCAGCAGGTATGCTCTCCTTAAATTGAGTCCTTAAGAAGTGCTGCCTTTTTAAACTGAAAAGGACTGTGGAAAAGCTTGTTGGCCGTTCTCTCCCTGTACCCCTTTCCTGGATCAAGGGCACTAGCAACATCACACTAGGCAAAAGACAAAAATAGGTTTTTGAAGCTCTACAATAAGTATATTCTAGAAAAGCTTTTAGTTTTCCTGAAACAGGAAGCTAAAGTCAGTAACAAGCAGGTTTTAAACTATTTAAAATGTATTAAACATTAGGTGAATCAGACGTCTCTTACATCCAGTGCCTTTTCTTTTATATAATGGCAGAAAAAACTCACCTATGATAGGTGAGCCCGTTTTTCACACTAGAAACATCTGAGAGTCAGCCACATTATTAATAGCTTTCCCTGAAGCTCGGATTAAGCATGCTGCATTTAGATGAAAATTCAGCAAGGTGGAAGAGAACTTATCTTGATGAAGGTGAACAAGCCATAGCCCTGAGCTCACAATGTATTTTTATTATTATTCTGAATGTTAGAATCCCACTAACAATATTAGTGAGCTCCCATATGCTACTTCTTTCCCACCGTGGCAATGAAGAGATGGGAACAAATCCTGCTGAATATTTTGGGATCCATGCGAGCATATGTGGCCCAGATGTATCTATTCTTCGCTTTTCAAGAATAAATGAAATCTTGAGATAAATGAAAGAGTAAATAAATGTAGCAAAATTTCCTGGTCATAATCTTTGAACCATTCAGGTCCAGAAAGTAACATGGCTTGATTTTTATCTTCCCAGCCCCATAACCACCAATTTATGTTTTTCTCTCTCTAGGACTAAGTAATATCATAGGGATCATTGTCTACATATCAAGCAATGCAGGTGACCCAAGTGACAAGCGAGATGAGGACAAAAAGAACCATTACAACTATGGCTGGTCTTTTTATTTTGGAGCCTTGTCTTTCATTGTGGCCGAAACCATAGGTGTTCTGGCTGTGAACATTTATATTGAGAAGAACAAAGAGCTGAGGTTTAAGACCAAGAGAGAATTCCTTAAGACTTCTTCCAGTTCTCCTTATGCCAGGATGCCAAGTTATAGGTACAGGAGGCGGAGGTCCAGATCCAGTTCTCGATCTACAGAGCCTTCTCCATCTAGAGACATTTCTCCAGTTGGCATGAAGATAGCAAGCACCATTCCCATGAACGAAATTTCCATGTACACTCTTTCCAGAGAGCCTTTGAAGGTTACAACGGCTGCCAGCTACAACGCAGACCAAGAAGCCAGTTTTCTGCAGGTTCACAACTTCCTTCAGAAGGAATTTAAGGAAGGACTCCATGTCAACATGGTCAACAGGAGAACGACACCTGTTTGAAGTACCTTCCTTCCTCGCGCTTTTTGAAGAAATAACAAAACAGAACGGATCTGTCATGAAAGAGAAGGAGCGATGTTAAAATACCCTCTCACCTCTTTAATTGTGGCATGTGTTGAGGTAGCAAGTGGAGATCCTCTGGACCAACATAAAGATATTACACGCTCGTAGCTTTTTTTTGAAGCTATTCGGAGTTTTCTTTCAGTTCTTGATGTCACGAGATGAAGGCAGTTCATGTTCCTGCACTTTTGTGGTGTGTACAAAGTCTTGGAGAAACTGCAAAGGACTTGCCACCAGTGTGTTTTAAAGGATTACAGAAAAATTGTTGTATGACTTTTTTTTTTTTTCCTAATATTGAGATCCCTTAATACAAACTTGCAAATATGATTTATAACCAAGCCGAAGGATGAATACGAACTACTCATCGAGTGAGCCACTTTCCTTTGACATAGCATAAGCTTTGCCTCTTTTAAAAAAAAAAAAAAAAGAAAAAAGAAAAAATATTTTTGAAGGCAACACTTTCTAAAACTGACCTGTGCTACCGAAACCGTAGAGCACCCGCGTACTGAGCATTACAGACTCCCTGATGGGGTGGTAAGGGGGTCTCCCATTTCTGGGCGTAAGGTGTCCCTTGGGGCAATGCAGGTGGGGGAGAAGAGGGTGGGTGCATCTTCAAACACCTAGAAAGGGAAGGATTAAAGTAGGTGGGACTTAAGCCTATTTGCAAATATCATTTCTTGCCTAACATTTAGAAAACTTGAATTCTTATTTCGACTAGCCCTAGTGCCTGATCCGGCAAGGTGCTGAGTGCTGTCTGTCAGGAGCCCCTATAGACTACTTATAGCAAGAGCGAGAAGCAGAGCTGAGCCGGGGTGGCCCACGCAGGCGAAGCCGCCGGTTCCCTGCGACTGCATTCTTGTTTTCCTTACTGCTTCACAAGTGCAACACTAACGCTACTGGAAACTAAGATATCTAAGCAATGTGCGTAAGAAAATGAGAAGCTAATACGTTCGGACTAGCAAAACTTCCTGCAGCGATGGGAACTGAGTGTTAACAGAATGGATGACAACTTTGTATTTTTTAAAATAGAACAAAAATAATCACCGTTTATGAGATATTTATTAAACTCTTTTTATTATGAATAAGTGCCGCATGGTGCAAGGTATAGTTGCTTTTAGATGGAAATGATGGTTCGACCTAATTTAATTTATTCTGTAATGATGAATCTACTTACGTGCAGAGAGCCCACAGAAAACTCTATGCATCACCTAAGAGGGGAACGAATTTGTACCCTTTGCTTCTGTATGTTTCTAAAAAAGTCTGAAATGTTTTTTTTCTTTTAAATTCCTGCTTTCATTTTTTACACTTAGGCTTGGAATCTCAAAGCTCGAGGGCCTGACTCAAAGGTAATTTAATTTAATAGTACTCATGTTGATTTTAGTGACCGCTCGACCAAGCCATATGAGAATGAGGTGCCCGATTCCCCTTGGATGAATTAGGTGCAGTGAGAGAGGAGCATCTAATTCCTGTAACTTCCTTTGAATATACCGTCGTCTTTGCCCAGAAAATCTTTGCTACCAGAAGACCAGAGAAGTGGTGACAAGAAAAAAAATCATGATTTGGAAAGCTTGGCTCACTGATGGTGGGAGATCTCAGCCAAACTCTTTAGTCTTAATTTATCCTGCGATGGCCACAGCGTCAGTGACTCAGTGGTGTTTTGGATACGAGGCTTCCAGCTAGTGGAACCAAGTCCTCCAGGGAAATCCCAGAGGAGCTGCCTTAACATGCCAAAAAGCAAGTTGAACCCCTTCTCCCCCCCAGGTAAGCCCTGCTTAAGCCTCTCTCCTTGCAAGAACCAAGACACAATTCTCAATTTTAAGCGAAAGTCTTCCCCTAGTCGCTGTTAAGCTCTGCCTAGCCCTCAGCCTGGCAAAGCGACATCGTTATTTTGGTGGAGATGGATTGGAGCCTTCATCCCTGCTTATTAAGAGTTTCCATTCAGGTTAAAACTCTGCTGGGATCCTTTTTCAAACCTCTGAACTCTGAGAGCTAAAGCGAATGGAGCAATGGGAACGATTAAAGTAGAAAATGTTGTGCTACTTTCTGTATCAACACACTATGGAGAAAGATGTTACACAAGCTTTTTAAAAAAAATTCAGAGGCAGACAAGAAAACTTTTTTACCTACTTTTCGGCTAGGACAACATAAAAGAGTTCTAAAATTATTAAAGTTCTTGATGAAAGGTTTTTTTTACAAGAATCTTTATGCTTTCAAACAATAAATTATTTCCTACTTTTTGAGACTTCGTAATATTAAAATACTTTGATTAGCTATGATAGAAGTAGAAGTTTGCAATGAAAAAAAACCTTCTGTCTCATTAGTGTGTCATACTAAGTGCTAATTAATTTACATCTAATTCTAGTTGATGTATTTTTCAAGTGCAATTTCCCAGAACTATTTGTTTCCCACTGTGTTAATAAACTAATAGTTAGAAAGAAGTCCTCATCCGTGTTTACTGTAATTAAGAATAAAACCATTCCCTTTAAAACCAGGAGTTAGATATAGGCTGTTTTTCTAAACTCATGTACATTGAACTGGAAGTTGACAGTGTGAGAGGTTTGCTTTGCGCCTTGGTTTCGTTCTTTTAATCGTCATTCTCCAGTGAATGTGTTTAACACCAACCATCTGACTCCAGCCAAAGTCTGAGGCTTTTCTAGAGCCCAGGTCAGACCTGCAGAGGCACGGGCAGTATTTTTACACCACGTCGGCAAAAAAAGGCTTGCCGAGCGTTTCGGGATGTTCCTCTTGGCCAGAGCCTCCTCCCCCAGAGCAGGGCTGGCTTCAGCAGCTCTCCGAGCACGAAGCCCTGCTTCTGTCTGAGCCAGAGCATCTGCTCCTTCTCCAGCAGGCACCTTCAAAAAACAGAGCTGGAGCGGGGAAGTATTCATGGGATGCTCATGGGATACGGGGTCTGGACGGGGAACAAAGGCACGGGGAGATAACAGGGACCGGAGCTTTCGTCCTGTGGGAGAATGCGGGCTGTGATTTAAAACTCATGGTCTATGTCAAATTGCAGCGGAGTAATTTGTTCAACCAAAGAAAAAAAAAAAAAACACTGTTGTTTCATTTGACAATTCTAGTAAAAAAAAAAAACCCAAAATCCTCCAAAAATCAGTCTTTTCCTGTGGAAAACTTTGATTCTGACAAAACTGAAAAATTTGCAGCATTCCTGCCCATGAACAGTGTCTTGCTCCATGGCTGATCTATCTGAACAGAATTAGATTGTGCTCGGACTTTGAAACCACTCAGTGATAGTTTAAAAAAAAAAAAAAAATTCATCTGTTCTTCCACATCGCTCTGGTTTCCCTGGACAGCATCAAACACAAATTGGCCCCCATTTCTCAACAAGGCCTGCAGATATCATCATCCTATCATCAACAATAATCGGTCTTTTGGTATTATCCTATAACATACTGTAACAGCAGACCTAAAAAAAAAATGCTATTGGATCAGATTCGATTTTCTGAGAAACAAAGTTTCAGGTATATTGTCAGCTCTCTCTTTCCTAGTTTCTCATACACAATGGGAGTAAAAGGAGAAATCACTTCATATGCCCGTACATCTAACAATAAACTATTTTTATATTTCTTTTTCTTTCTGTATGGATCACGTATCCACAAGGGCTAATATATCATGTCCCTTGAGGTTACATTTCTGTCTGCAGTTCAAAAGTGTTATTTCCACTGTGCTTCAGTTCTACTGATATAATCACAACCATGTATAATGTACTTAACCCTTACTTTTTAAATAAACCATTTTAAATGTATTCTTTTTTGTGTGGAGAAAGGTATATAGATTTTTAACCTGCTAAGTCTCTGAGCTGAGATTTCTGTGTGTATTTTTTCACATTTCTACCTATTTTGATTGCAGCTGGGGATGTTACTGGAAGCCAATATATCAGAGAAAAAAAATTCTTGTGGTCCCACAGACCAAGAATTCTCCAAGATAAGCTCTCTTCACAAAATTTCCAGGCATTTGGGTTGGAAACTAAGAAAAACCTTCTAGTTTCCAGCTTAAAGTTGGCCCGTATGAGAGACACTCTGGTTTGGGTGCCCGGTTTGAGACTGGTGTAGTGGCCAGGGGCACTGCAAATCACCATCAACAAAAATAAGCCAGTGTCTTCTGGAAAAGTCCTAGCCCCGAGCCTGTGCTTTGCCTCCACCTTTTGAGGTTGCATGTGAATTCGCTTCCGAGCATACTCCTCTCCCAGCTCGTGTTCGTTCTGCCTGCAGAAAGCTCGACCCCGCGTGCTGAAGCTCCACGAAAGCCTTGCTCTGACCACCACCATAAAATCCTGGCGGTACGAGCGGTGCCAGATACGGGTCAGCAGTTCAGCAGCCTCTCGCCGCTCCCAGACAGCCCGAACCATCCCTGTATCAGAGACAGTATTTCTTCTTCAAATACCTCTTTTAACTTTACCTTCCCAGTTCCTAAGCCTCCAGATTGCCTTTAAAGATGAAGACCGCCTGCGTATCTCTATCTGCCTGCCTCTCCCCGTACGTAAGATCAATTGGCACTTCTGGAGGGAGGCAGGGGGTTCACCTTTTCAAATGCCTCCGACACCCGGTAGTGAAGCCATTCAAAGCTCAAGGCCAAAGCTGGTTCCCTTGAACTAAAATAAAGAAAGGCTCTTCCCACATTGCTGAGCAAGTCTGGGGGTCAATAGTGACCCCAAGAGCTGTGGCTGCCCTGCTGTGAACAGGGATGTATCAAAAAGTGGTGTTGTTTGAGGGGGAAGCAGAGACAGAATCCTTAAGGCTTTGGAAAGTGGAGAAAGAGTCCAGCGCGGAGGATGTGGCATTTTCTTGGAATGAGAAAAATAACAAACACGGGAGGTGCCGAAAATAAAAAGGAATGAGGAGTGCTCTGCACCTGTCTGCGAAACAGCTCGTCTTACAGCCGCCGCCGCCTCGCTTCACCAGAGCTAAAGGGATCGCTTACCG